GGGGAAGTGGGAAGCATTGGGGCTGAAGTTGCCCCACACCACGGGGGCTGAGGGAGAGCAGGGCTGCATAGCATCACAGGATTTTCCCATTGGCTCCCAGCTCTTTCCCCCCACTCCTGCTGGTGTCCCAAGGGGGGCAAGAAGGGCTGGGCAAAAAAAAAAAAAAAAAAGAAAGGGAACGTTTTGTGGGGTTTTCATTGCTTTTCCCTACTGAACAAACCCAGAATGTCTGTGTGTGTGCCCAGGGCTTGGGGCACTTTGATGTGCACCCCCTGCCCTCTTGCAGAAACTGTTTTTTTTCTGGGATGGAGGTGCTCCCCTTGAGCATCCCACTGAGCCCTCAGTGCTCCCCAGCTGGGAAGAGCCCAGGCAGACCCAGAAACTGTTGCTGCTTCTTCAGCTGGTGAGGGGTGGGAAAGACCCTTTCTGCCCTTTGCTCCAGTACCTCTCTGCATGAGAGGCTCAGTCCAGGGGTTGCTGCCCCCTTTATGCAGGTCCTTGCCCACCCCTTACAGCTCAGGGTGATGATGCTCGGGGCATTTGGGGTTGTTTTGCAGGGAATGGGTTTGGACTGGGCAAACTGGAAGCCTGAGCACTTTGCAGTGCTGTGATTTTGTGCTTGGAAGGTGGATTTGAGGGGCCAGGCTTTGCTGCTGAAATCTGGGGCACCTTCTCCTCCACCCCACCCCAATCCATGCCTCAGTTTTCCCACCGGAGCCATGCAGCAGTGGGTGGGTTTGCAAAGCTCCACGGATGTGTGAACCATGCCCAAGTGACTGTGGGGTCCCTCTGAGGGTCCACCAGCTCAGCTCTGCCCTTTGCAGTTCCATGAGGCTTTGGGGATGGGACACAGCTCTTCCCTGTGCAGCGGGGGCACATCCCAGCCCAGCAACAAGGAGCCCCTTTCTCCAACATGGGCTGGGGGGGGGGGTGAGCAGCTCTGGCAGCCAAAGGACCCCTCCTCCCCCCCATTCCCACCTGCTTCCGGCCTTTTATGCTCTGCCAGCAGCTGCTGCCAAGAGGCTGCTGGGTGCTTCCCGCAGCATCCTCTGTGCTCAGCACATGGGGGGCTCACTGCTGTGACCACCCCGCCCTCCCCCCCCCGGTATGGTGGGTCCCCTTGTTTTGTTGGTGGTGCAGGAAGCAGGGGCAGTTTGCAGCAAGGAGGGGACAGTTTCAGAGAGGGACAGGCACGTGCATGGGAACACTGGGGCACCTGCAGCCCGGAGATGGGGGGGGGACGGGGCAGACTGGAGCGGGGCCAGGCTCTGCCTGTGGCTGCTGACTCATTCTGCAGCTGAGCATCCCTGGAAAGCCGCTGATCAGCTGCGCTATGGGCTGGCAGGGCACCTTGGGAGCAGGGACAAAGTTGTCACGTGCAGGGACAGAGGGGCTTTGCATGGGGATGGGACAGCCTGGGAAAGCCTCTCTGTGATGGTGTGGAGAGGAAGGGGCTCGGGACCCCCGTTTGCAGCATCACCCGTGCTTTGGTGTGGCTTAAATTAGAGTGAGTTCAGGGGAGGAAGAAAGATTGTTCTCATCCCGAAATACCTCTGCTCATTTTCCACCTGGTTTCCCAGGGAAATGGAGGCAGTTAGTGTGCACATGAGCATCCCACCCAACCCCGTGGCTGGGAACTCAGAGCTAATGCAGCCCTGCTCCCTGCTTCCCACTTTCCCTTTAGCTGCCTTCCCTTGCTGCCGCTCCCAGCCTTTCCTTTGCGAAGGCTAAAAAAAAACCATTCCATTTGTAATAATAGGAAAAAAATACATATCCAACCCCAAACCCCAAACCTCAAACAGTGACGCCTGAGAGTCCTGCCATCACGGGACTCCCGTGGGCAGGGTGAGTTGGGTTTAACCCCTATGGAGCCCCAATCCCAGTGTGTTGGGTGTCCCAGCTCTGGGTGGGCACAGGAGGGGAGCAGCCCCCCGCTCACTCCATCTTGCTGCACTCATGCAGCTTTCATCCCCTGAATTTCCTTGCTGAGGCTTCACGGCTGCTCCCTGCTTGTACCACTGCGGCGCCTGGGGAACAGGAAGAAAAAGAGCCTGGGACAAAAAGTGCCTCGCTCCACCACACTGGGGGTCACAGCCAGTCACCACGCAGCAGGGACCATCCCTCAATCTGCTCCGTGGGGTTGAATTCCAATGATCAATCCAGAGCTGGGAAAGCCCCCAGCTTGGTGCTGGCAGCACTGGTCATGTATTGGATGGAAAAGGATGGATGCATGGCGTGCAGTGCTAGGGGACGTGCGTGTGTGGTGCGTGGTGCTAAGGGGCTGTACATGCATGGTGCGTGCTGCTCAGGGCTGTGTGTCCATGGTGCGTGATGCTAGGAGGTGTACATCCAGAGTGCACGGTGCTAGGGGCTGTGCAAGCATGGTGCACGGTGCTAAAAGGTGTACATGTAGTGCTGGAGGCTGTTTGCCCTTGGTTCTTGGGCTGTATTCACACCACTCCCTGGCACGTTGGTTCCCTGGGGTTCTCAGGGATCATCCTTTGCAGAGAGATGCAGCTCCAGGGCAGCCTCCCTTCAGCCTGGCCCTGGCAGCCTGCGACCTGGGCCAGAGCTCACCACAGAGGTGCCAAATCTGCTTCAGTGGCTGCCAAAATCAATGCAGCACAAAGAGCTCATAAATTACAAAGGCGCTCTGAGGCTCAGGGTCGCTGCGTGCCAGTCCAGGGCCGAGGAAACCACCGAGCCCCTGCAGAGGAGTGCATGGGGCCACGCTATCCTGCAGAGCCATGCACCACGCAGGGACCTCTCCATATCCCTGGTGTCCTCTCCAGATGGCTGGAGCTCCTCCGTGACATCCCCAGTGTCCCTGGTGCTGCTCTGCGGAGCTGGTGACAGCCGTGCTAGCTGCTGGGCTCTCCTTTCAGTGCTGCTCCTCAGCCGGCGAGGGAGAGCCCTTTGTGCCAGGCAGCCTTGAGAGAGACCTGGGACATAATGGCTGCTTTACTCGGCCCTGGTTTTCCCAGCCTGTGCGCGGGAAACCTCCGGCGTGAGCTGAATGGCAACGAGGAGACCTCCTGCTCCATCCCTCCCCCACTGCCCCATGCTTTGTGCACCTTCAGCATCCCCATCTCCAGCTGAACCCCCCTGGCCACACGTGTGGAAGCACACTCACAAGCACATGTACGTGCCCATACACGTGCACATGCATGCTGCAGTGCACATGCAAGTTGCAACGCATGCACACCCAAAAGCCCAGCTTGCATGCGTGCACTCACGCTCTCACACCATGAGCCAGGGCTCAGTGGCTCATTCCTTCAACCCTGATCAACACCAGCTATTACAATCCCCTCTGAGGTTTCTGACTGCGGTGTCTCGATGCGCAGCCCAGCTCTGGCATCTCCTCCTGCCTGGCTGTGCACTCAGACTTTCCATGCTGTGCTCAGATCTGCTGTCCCCAGAGGACCCCTCTCCCTGGGGCTGGATTGGACCCTGGGCACTGAGCTGAGGCACTGCAGCTCTCCTGCTCCTCAGAGCACATCTGCACATTTCCTTCTGCTCACTCTCCTTTATGCCATGCAGGGTCCGTGCTGGCTGCATGCTCTCAACCTGATGCTTTTGTGCATCACCCCGTGCATGCAGGCACCAGTCTCTCCCAGTCCTCCCTCTAGCAGAGAGCTGGAGGTTATGATACTTCTTTGCACTTCAAACCCTCTGCTGGACTTTTGTAACCCCTCACAGGGCACAGGATGGCCTCAGTTCTCCCACTGCTGCTGCTCTGGGCATTTGCCCCCACGGTGGTCCCGGAGGTGCTCAGCCCTGAAGATGTCACAGGTAACACAGCCCCAGCCGTGCTCACCCTCACACTGTAGCCAGTATCCTGGGGGCAGGGGGTTCACATGCCAGCCCCACTCATCTCTCTGCTCTTCTCCCCCCAGATGACCTCAAGGCCCTGCAGGTGTCCATCCCACGGCACCCAGCCCTTCACGCTGTGCTGGCAGGGGACGTCACCATCCCCTGCCTCATCACCTACCTCGCACCCCTGCCCACTGCCACCACGGCGGGACGCCGAGCAGTGCTGGGAGCCCCCCGGGTCAAGTGGACCTTCATTTCTGAAGGCAGGGAGGCAGAGATCTTGGTAGCACGGGGGGAAAAGGTGAAGGTGAGTGAGGACTACCGCCTCCGTGCCTCCTTGCCTGTCTTCCATCAGCGTTACACTGACGCCTCTCTGCTGCTCACCGAGCTGCGCCCCAATGACTCGGGGATCTACCGCTGCGATGTGCAGCATGGCATCGAGGACGGCCACGACATCCTCGACCTCAGAGTCAAAGGTACGCACAGGAAAGGGAGCAGCACAGTTTGGGGGACCCTCTCTCCTGGCTTCTCACCCTGTGCCTCCCTGCAGGAGTGGTGTTTCACTACCGTGGGGGTTCCACACGCTACACCTACACTTTTGCCGAGGCGCAGGAGGCATGCACTGCCATCAGTGCCAGCATTGCCACCCCTGAGCAGCTGTATGCTGCCTATCTGGGAGGCTACGAGCAGTGTGATGCTGGCTGGATCGCTGACCAGACCGTCAGGTGAGCGCCCCACGGCGTGTTTCTGGCACCCAGTGACTCCCCTGTGCCACCCCTCAGCCACCACCATTCTTCCCCTCTGCTTTGCCAGGTACCCCATCCACACTCCCCGCGAGGCGTGCTACGGAGACATGAATGGCTTCCCAGGGGTGAGGAACTACGGTGTGGTGGACCCGGAGGACATGTACGACGTGTACTGTTATGCTGAGGACGTGCCAGGTGCCTGTGGTGCTCCATGTCCAACCTCCTTTTCACAGCCCAGCGCTGTCACCCAGTTCCCTTAGCAATGTCCCAAATGTGCAGCGCTCCGTAGAGGGCACAGACTTGCTTCCCTGCAACCCTTTGCAGAACTGCCTTGCTGACCTGCTGCAGTAAACCACTGATGCTTCTTACTGCTTGGGGAGCGCTGCTGACCTGGGGCTGTCCCTGTGTGTCACATACCTGCTACCCTGCTGCTCGTGCACGCTACGTGGCATGGAATCCACTGCCAGGTGGAATCAGCAGCACCTGCATCAGTCACATTTTTCTTTTGGAAAGTTTGCCTGTGCAGCAAGCTATGGGCAGAGCTCAGGAGAGCTGAGCAGGTGGCTCAGTGCTCGCCCCTGCCCCATGTGCAAGGACAGACCCACATCCACCCCTCTCCCCATTCCTGAACCATCTCCTGATGCCTATTTCCTTCCTTTCATTGCAGGGGAAATATTTTTGGAGACGGCCCCGGACAAGTTTACCCTGGAGGAGGCGGTGGTGCGGTGCAGGGCGCAGGGTGCGGTGCTGGCGAGCACAGGACAGCTCTACGCAGCCTGGAGTGCAGGGTTGGATGCCTGCAACCCTGGCTGGCTGGCTGATGGCAGCGTCCGCTATCCCATCGTCACCCCGCGGGAGCGCTGCGGAGGAGCCCTGCCGGGTGTCAAAACCATCTTCCAGTTTCGCAACCAGACGGGATTCCCCGACGCACAGAGCAGATACGATGCGTACTGCTTCCGAGGTAACCAGGGGCACCGCGGCCCCAAAGTTTAGTGCTGGGCTCTGGGGTGCACGAAGCAGGGACAGAATAGAGATCCCTACATGCTCGCCACGCCGCCCTGTCGCTGTGGAGTGTGGGGTGTTCTGCATATCTGCAGTAGAGCATGCCGACTCAGGGCAGGGATGCTTTGCATGAGCTCAGTGTTGCATGCCAATATATCTTGATAGGGGAGGAATAACCCGCATGATCTCAATACTGCATGCTGATACATCGTGATAGAGGATGGATGCTCTGCGTGGTCTGCATAGCGCATGGCAGTATAGTGCAAGGTCGGCCTCAGTATTGCATGCTGCTGTAGCACAGTAGGGCAGAGATGTCTCCGTCCGTGTGAGCTCAGGTTGGCTCTGGGCACAGCACTTGTCCCAGGTCGATGCCATGAGCCCTCACCTTGGGGCTGAGCCAGCTGCAGGAGCGCGGCTCTAGGACGGTTCGCCCCTGTGTGGATGTTGAAGGCGTTTTGGGGTTCTCTGTAGGCTGCTGGGCACAGCCTGCCAGGTCTGTAAGGTCTATTTATTACCACGGATAGGAAATGAAATAGAGGCAGTGAGCTACTGGGTGCTGAGGGCACCCTGCGCACCGGGGCACGTGAGTGAGGACTGAGGCTCACAGGGATAACAGGCGCAGATTCTTCCCATTCCCACTTACATGAGCGTCCCCTGGGCCTTGTGCTCCCACCAACCATCCGCTGCATGCCTCCGTGCCTCAGTTTCCCCATTTCTCAGTGGATTCCCCGCTGTCTCCACAGATGAAGCTAGGCAGGACGGACCCATCTCGCAGTGCTGTACTGCATAACCCACTAACAACCCAGCTCAGCCAGGGCACAGGGATCCCCCAGGTTGTCCCCAGCTGCCGCGGGGCCAGGACAAGGCGGTAATACCCCACTTTCTTTCTGCCCACAGAAGGGACAAACTCTTTCCCTGAGGCTGCAGGAAAATATCAAGCCAGAGAGCCCGAGGGCCTCCAGGAGATTGTTACAGTGGCAGAAAAGCTGGAGGAGCTGCAGCTGCCCAAAGCGCAAGTGGAGATTGAGTCGCGAGGGGCTATATACGCCGTCCCTTTCTTTAAGGACGTGGCTGATGCTGAGCTGGAAAAGCCAAGCCTGTCCCCCGAAGACACCCGGCACCCCCCAGTAGATACCTCCTCGTCCTCAGCACGAGGACGTCACCCATCCTCGGCTGCCCCTTTCCCCACAGCCCCAGCCATCCCCAAGGCAGGCATCCCGCATAGCTGTGCTGTACAACCAGGCAGCCCGTCCCCTGCAGACCAGGACGAGGCGACAGGGACAGGTGGAAGGTGCACAGAGGCCAGGCAAGAGCCATCCCGCACGGGTAGGTCCAGCAGTGCTCAGGGCTGGGGCACAGAGAGCAGCAGAAGGGATGCAGGCACAGAGCTGTCCAAGTGCCATCTCACCGAGGGTGCACCCATGGCCGAGGTGCCGGTGTCCTGGTGTGGTGGTGACAGGCGTGGGGCTGTTGGTCTGTCCCTGCCATGCACAGATGTCCATCTGTCTGTCCAGCGGCCAGGACGGCAGGGTGTAGCGGGCAGGGCCAGTGCCAAACCATGCTGTATTTGTGCCAAGAGGAGGCAAGGGGCCAAGCAAAGACGTGCTGTGGGACAGGAGAATGCAATGGCCAAGCCGGAGCAATGGGGCTGGTTCAGAGAGGGAAGCATCACCAGACCTGGGGCTGTTTCTGTCTCCTCAGGCATTACTGTGCCAACATTTTCCCTTCAGCTCTGCTCATCGCCGGCAATGCCAGTGCCTGGTTCCTGGCTGGCTCCTCTTGTGGGTGTCTCACTGTCTTTCCTTGCCCCTTGCAGAGGATGGAGCAGCGCTGGAACGGCCGCTGGGCTCTGTGCTGGGTGAGGACTTTGGGAACACAGCAGCAGAGAGTCCGGGCAGAGGGCAAGAGCCTGGACAGCCCATGAAGCCGAATGTGCAGACAGTCTTGGTGGGCACAGAAGGACCCAGTGACGCCCTGTCCCCATCGGTGGCTGCAGCAGGTGACACAGAGCCACCCAATGGGCATCCCCAGCCACCTGGCTCCGTTGTCCCCACATGTCTCCCCATCCACCTGTGGGAAGCTGTGGGGCGGCCAGCCCACAACGGCAGGGCATCTGGGCACGAGGACAGCCAGGTGACACGTCCAACCAGTGCCACTTTTGTCACTTCGACAGATATCCAAGAGCCATCCTCCTCTGTAGGCAGCCGTGGGGCTGGGGGGACCAGCACCCCCATCCACACTGTGGGGGCTGCTGAGGACCCCGAGCTGTCAGGAGATGTGACCGAAAACCCTGGGGCATCCCCGCTGCCCCCCGCACCGCCGCAGCTGCAGGATGATGGAGAGGAGCAGTCGGGGGCCCCGTGGCTCTCCTCACCCACAGCACCAGGGGATGGGGGCACAGCCCCGGCAACGGAGGTCACCCCATGGCACGCAGAGTTGCCCAGCAGCAGCGATGCACTGCAAACCCCAAGCACTGATCGCGGGATGCCCACTGCATCTTCAGAAGAGGAGGAGGGTGAGGAAGAGGAGGAGGATGAAGAAGAGCGTCCGATGCCCTCTGTTGCAACCGTGGAGGGTTTCCTTGCAGCCGTCCCCGGAGAACCAGGTGGGACCTACAGGGACGGCCTCACCTCTCCCCATGCTGGGCTCCCCAGGCTGTCCCCAGCACCCAGCTCGGCCGCCCCACTGCCCGCCCTGCCCACAGAGCGTGCCAGCCTGGGTGCAGGTGCAAGCTTGGCCGGGGGTCCCCAGCACTGTGTCATTTTTGCACTTGGGGCAGTGCTCCTGGCTGCACGCTGGCACTAGAGAGTGGCAGCACCTTTCCTTTGCACTGTGCTTTCCTCTTGTCTGTCCTTCTGTCCGTCTGTCTCTCTCTCTCCTCCTCTCTTCGGCTGGGTAAGAGAAGGTTAAAGGTCCGGAGAAGCACATATTTGTCAAACAAATTGGTCTGAGCTATGCATGCACTTAATTCTCTTCTACTTCTGTGAAGTGTTTTAATGACTGTTTCCATGAAAAAAAAAAAAAAGAAAAAAAGAAACAAATCTAACAAAAGAAGGTCCCAAACCCTCCTCTGACTAACAGTGGTACTAATAAAGGGAATTAAAAGCTTTCTAGAACATGCACCTCGGCTAGCTCTTCCCTTCATCCTTGCGCCCGCTGCCTCACTTGCATCCCCACTGACGAACTAATCCCCCCGGGCCCCAGAAGGATGAGGGCCTTTGGGGCTGAGCAGGGTGTGAGCTGTCCCTGGAGCATCCCTACGGTGCACGCAGCTGAATGCCGTGCAGAGCAGTGGGGTGTTGGGTGTTCTGGGGGTGCACAGCCTCGAGGTGAGCACCAGGGGCTGAGATGGAGCCCACGAGCTGCAGGAGGGTGGTGGGTGCATGAGCAGTGACCCCAAGACAAAACTCCTCTTGGCTCCTAAGCCGGGATGCTCTCAGCTCTGCAACTGAACCCCTGCCCATCTTGCTGGCCCTTGTCCCCGTGGGACAGCCTCGCTGGGGTTCCTTTCTTCACCCCCCCCCAGCATGGGCACTGCTCAGCACCTTGCAGTGTGGATGTGGATGTCCTGGCAAGAAGAGATATGTTCCCAAAGAGCCGGATGTGCCCAAGCCTTAAATAGCTCATTTCTCACCCTGCTGCAGTCCACTGGAGATGTCTGCGTGCTCCTGCAGGCGGGGAGGTGATGCTGTCTTGGGCAAGCGAGGGCACAGGGCATTGCATAGTGCCAAGGACTTGCACTCCCTGTGCCGCTGGCGCTGGCGACAGCCCTAAATCACATTCTTGAGCTGGGGACGGATTAATGACTGTGTGTCTTAATGACCGGAACGGGCTGGTGCTGGTTTTGCAGGTCAAGGATGGCACCACTGAGTTCTCAGCCTTGGGCAGGCTGAAGGTGACAGCAGTAAGGCTGGGGACAGGCACGAGGCTCGCCTTGCTGCCAGGCTGAGGACGTGTGTCTGGGACATGTCAAGGGCTTATCCTTTCATGTTCCCTCCAAAAGAGCCATTGTTGCACTGCTCTGGGGACAGCAGGACTCGTCCCCATCCACGGCACATTCTAACAGTGTCCTGCTGAGTGATGGGGACATGCCAAAGCCTCAAACCCATCCAGTGCAGGAAGATGGGATGGCTCCAGGCGTGCCACCGTGCCCCAGATTCTGTGCATCCATCTGAGGGCTGAGGGGCAGCTCAGGGGCATGCAGTGAGCAGGGATGCCCGTGCTTTGCAGGTGGCTGCATCCCCAACCCCTGCCTGAACGGAGGGACCTGCATTGAGGATGGCACCCATCCCACCTGCCTCTGCCTGCCAGGTTATGGAGGGAGCAGCTGTGAGAGACGTGAGTCCACAGGGTCACACAGCCCGTGGTCCTTCAGGCATCAGCGCACAGAAATCTGTTTTGGGTGTTCTTTTGGCTTGCTCGTGGGCTGAGCTCCATGGTGCTGACCCTTGTCCTCTCTCCCCTCCTTTTCTCCTGCTGTGGTTCAGCTTTGAAGAGGTGCAGCCCCAGCTGGGACAGCTTCCAGGGAGCCTGCTACAAGCACTTCTCCACCCGGAGGAGCTGGGAGGACGCCGAGTCACAGTGCAGACATTTTGGGGGGCATCTGGCCACTATCCTGACCCCCGAGGAGCAGGACTTCATCAACGGTACGTGGGGCCACCCCAACCTGCAGGGCATGGGACCCAGCATCCCACCACAGTGGGTCTGGCCAAGGGGCAAAGCAGAGCCAAAGCTCCTCTCCCTCTGTTGGAAAAGGCAGCTGGATGGACAGACACCATCACAAATGTTTTTATAAAAAGGGGAAAGGAAAGAGGAAAGGAAGGGGGAAAGAGGAAAGAGGAAAGAGAAGAAAAGAGAAAAGAGAAAAGAGAAAAGAGAAAAGAGAAAAGAGAAAAGAGAAAAAGGAAAGGGGGAAAAGGAAAGGGGGAAAAGGAAAGGGGGAAAGGAAAGGAAACATTGGCAATAGGATGGATTAATTGGTAGAAAGTACAGCTGGGAAGCGGGGCGGTCCAGGAGGAGCAGGAAGGGACACGGGGACACCACGGACAGGCATGGGGACACTGGGGCTCTGCTGCCCTCTCCCGGCGACCCCCCCCAAACTCTCCGCCCTGACGGATGCCAGGGGATGGCAGATCCCCCCAAGCCCTCCTCTGTCCCCAGAACAGTACCGCGAGTACCAATGGATCGGCCTCAACGACCGCACCATCGAGGGGGACTTCCAGTGGTCCGACGGCAGCCCCCTGGTAAGCCGTGCTGCCAATCCCCCTCCTCACCCCGTTCCCATCCCCACCACACCTCGTGGTCCTTCTCCATCCCTTGGGATGGGTCCCAGGTTTTGAAGCCTCAGTTGAAACCACTGGCATGAGCACCGTGTGATCTGGGGTGCCTGAACCAGCAGCACGGAGATGGGGCACCACGGCACGGACGCAATGCAAAGTGCCAGCGAAGCCCCAGCCCGTCCTGTGCTCCCCAGCTCTACGAAAATTGGCACCCGGGGCAACCCGACAGCTACTTTCTCTCCGGTGAGAACTGCGTGGTCATTGTGTGGCACGACGGGGGACAATGGAGTGATGTCCCCTGCAATTACCACCTCTCCTACACCTGCAAAATGGGGCTGGGTAAGCCACGCACCCCCCCCCCCCCATAGCAAGGAAAAAAGGGTTCTGACCGCTCTCAGCTCACCTGGAGCTGGGGTGGGAGCTGCTGGTGAGGCAGAGGGGTTCGGCGCAGCCCCAGGACGCCCACCTTCTCCCCCGACCCCACAGTGCAGTGCGGACCCCCCCCCACCGTCAGCAACGCCCTCGCCTTCGGCAAACCAAAGCAGCGCTACGAGATCGGCTCCATCACTCGCTACCACTGCCGCCACGGCTTCGCCCCGCGCCGCTCCCCCATCATCCGCTGCCGTGAGGATGGGATTTGGGAACGGCCCCAGCTCTCCTGCCGCCCCGGTGAGCATTCAGCCCCCTGCATCCCCACACCTCCCCTCGTGAATGGGTCTTCAATGGGGCTCTTTGCTTCCTGTGTCCCCCCCCCCAGGGCTGGCTCAGCACTCCGAGGACTGAGTGAGCTGTCACCTTCCCAGGATGGATGAGGATGTCACCGGGATGGCAATGCAGCACTGGAGGGCAAGAGGTGTCCTGGTGGGTGCCTGCCCTCTGCTTGTTTTATATCTGTACAAAGAAACCCCAACAACTAAAGAGTCCCTCAAAAGGAATCGCCAGTGACTTGTTTGGTGTCTCACCTTGCACCGGGGCTGTTTGAGTCCCAGAACGGCAACAGAGTTAAAATCAAGGAGGAGAAGATGGGGGTGGGGGGGGGTTGGGGGGAAGGCAGGTGACAGCTTGGACATGGCAGCATCGCCTCCAGCTGCTGCTTCCCCCCTTCTGTATTGAGACAGCAACATGGGGAAGGGGACACTGAGGCTGTGTCTGGGACATGGCCACACTGCTGGATGCATGCATCTCAAGCCTCCTCCATGTTTCTGTGGAATGAAAGCAAGGAAATGGATGGCACTGAGGGGTTTGTGCCAGCAAGCACATGGGTGGGAGAGGCAAAGGTACACAGCCTCAGCACTGGGAATGGGGGACACACAATGGAGCCATGGGGACCAGGTCGATGCTGGAGCAGCCTGGGCACAGCGATGGCCCCTGAGCCACAGGCACAGGGAGGAGCAGCCCAAAGTGTCCCCATGTTGATGCGTCCCCACGCTGTTTTCTCCATCTGTATCCCAAACCCAGAAACCCCTGTGTGTGGTGCCAGGGACACCGATAACACCAGGACACTGCGGGGGGAGTGCTTGAGTCCTTGGCAAACCCCCCTCACTGAGTGGCCAGGCGGTCCCAGCGGCCGCTTTACTGTCGCTTTATTAATTGAGAAAGCGAAACTCCATTAGTCACACTCATTAAATGCCTGGCTCTCCAGCATGCCTGCACCAGCCAAAGTCTGCATGGCCGTAGGAAGCCAGGCCAGGGCTGGGGGTGCACCAAGGTTGGGGGGCTCAGGGAGCCTGCCGTGCCCACCGGGGCTGGACCAGACCCCCTCAATTCCTGGGCTGGAAATGGTTTTGGATTCTCCATCAAGCCTGGAATGCGTATAGAATTCTGAGGCAGCTGAGTGTGAGGAGCAGCTCCATTAAATGCACAATCCCCCTCAGACTCAGCCCCGTCAGAGGGGATGCACAAACCCTCCACATTCAGCCCATCAGAGGATGCACAAATTCCCCCAAATTCAGCCTCATCACTCCATCAAAGGATGCAAGCACCACCCACAATGCCCCAGAGACCCCTGTCCCACCTTGAGCTCTCCACTCAGGTGACAAGAGCCGGTGCCACCCCTTTGCCTCTGCCCACCTCTCCTATGTCCCTGTGAAGCAGTAGGTGCCGTAGGTCCGCAGCTCCTTGCTGGGGAAGCCAAAGCTGCGGACACCAGGCTCTGGCAGACCCCCACAGCGCTGCCGGGGGGGTGGTGATGGGGTATCGCACGCTTCCATCTGCCAGCCAACCCCCGTCACAGCGATCCAGCCCCAAAAACTTCCATGCAGAGTAGAGCTGCCCCACTTTAGCAATGGTAGCACCGTGGTTGCGGCACGCTTGCCCAGCTTCCTTGAAGTTCAGGTGGCCTCGGATGAAATAGACCTCACCTGGGGATGGGAGGGGTGGGGGGGGGGAGGAAATAATGGAGGGTGATGACTCCGTGAGCAGCCCCAGTGTCGCCACACAGGGCTGGGGGATGCTGGAGGTACCTTGCAGTGCAGAGGTGAAGCAGAAGGCATCAAAGCGGTCCCGCTGCTTGTCCTTGGCCCCATAGCTGCGGATGCCCGGCAGCAGGAGGCGGCCGCCACATGGCTCCCGTGAGTTGATGATGGGGTAATGCACGGTGCCATCCAGCACCCAGCCCGCGTTGCACCAGTCCAGCCCCTCCATCCAAGCTGCGGGGTGGGCAGAACCTCAGCGTACCATAAGAACAAAGCGGGGCATAGAAGGGATGGGGGACGGCAGCCTGGGTGGAAGCCTGGCCAACTCAGCATCATCCCCACCAGCAAGGCAGGTTTGTGGCAACAGGAGGATTTGGGATGCTGCAGGATATTACCTTTGTAGAGCTGCTGGTAGGTGGCAAGCCGGGCATCCTGCTGCTCGCATGCACGCTTGGCTTCGTGGTAGTTGAATCTATAGCGCCCATTGATGGGCTGGTAGGGGAAGACAATACCTAGAGGACAGGGACAGAGGGACACGCTCTCACCATGGAGGTCTGGTTTCTTGCCCCCAGGGACCTGGTGCTGAGCAGGAGTCTGGGAGAAGTGGCTTTGCAATGGGAACCCATTGGAACCTCCCCATATCCCTCACCCTCCAGGTGCAGCGTGAGCGAGACGCTCTCATCCTCCAGCCCATTGACCAGCTGGCAGCGGTAGCGTCCCTCATCCTCCAAGGTCACATCGGTGATGGTGAGCGAGGCATCATAGCGGTGGCTGTGCCGCAGGCGCACGCGGGGGCTCAGCGGCCCGTAGTTTTTGTGGTACAGCCCGTTGGTGATGATGATAACGTTTTCCCCATAGTTGGCTGGCTCCACTTTGCTCCACTTCACCCGGTAGTTGCGGGGCAGGGCGCGCAGCACGCAGGGCAGCGTGGCCGTGGCACCTCGCTGTGTGTGCACGGCGGTGTGCAGGGGCTCCAGCAGGTACTGCAGGCGTGGGGTGGCTGCGGGGCACCGGCTCACCTCTAGGCATTGCCACAGCCCCACTGCCCCTCAGCACCTCCCCACCACCCTCATCAGCCTGGTTTCCAGCAACCATCCCACCTCATTTCCCTGCTGCTGCAGCCTCCAGGATGCTCATCCCAGCCCCTGCCCAAACCTCCCAATACCGTCCCCAAGCAGAAGTGTCCTGTCCCCATTCCCGCTCCCTACCAGGGCTCCCTGTTGGCTTCTGGAAGATGCTGGAGGTGGGGGATGCTGCCAGGAGCCAGAAGGATGCAAGCAGAACCCGGTGCATCTTTAGAGCTGGGGACTGCAGAAAGCCTGGGGGGAGCAAAGGGATCAGGGCCACGCAGCAGGACAGACCGGGGGATGCAGCAGGGAGATGGGCAGCAACCAAACCATCTCAATGTTTGCCCTGCAAAGTGGACATCACACAGGACACCGATGATCTGAGAGGTGCCAAGCACAGAGATAAGCAAGAGCAGCCCCCTCTCCCACCACCACCGTCATCAGTCCCCATCACTGCTTACCGTCCTCAGGGGAGCTGCTGTGCCCATCCACCACCGCCTGCCTCCTGGCTCTGTCACAGCCACCCCATCTCAGGATGAAGGGCTCTGGAAAGCTCAAACCTGTGCTGCGATGCTGCTGGGAAGAGGGGACACAGGGCACGAGGACACAGGGACGGCTGTGGGTGCTCCCAGCTGGGTCCTGCCCTCTCCTTGAGCCTGCACTGCTGTCACCGTCACCATCGCCATCCTGGGGCAGGCAGTGCCCCAGCAGCCCCACGTCCCGCTCCCATGATCAGTGTTGGCTGTGCTCTCGCTCCCTGCCCTGTGCCCGTCTCTTCCCGTTTTCTTCTCCTTTCTTTTTTTCTTTTCTTTTCTTTCTTTTTTTTCCTTTTTATTTTTTTTCAACACCTCCCCGAGGAACGCACGGGGAGGAGGAAGCACAATTTCCCATTGTGGGCATCTTTCTCTGTATTGTTCTGCTCGGCAAAACACAGCACTTGCCAGCTAACAAGCATCCCTTTATTCACAGGCCACAGAGTAAGAGAATTCAGGGAAAATGTCAGCACCATGCGGGGCTCCGCACCCCCCATTGCAGGCACAGATCCCCTCAGTGCTGCTCCCCGTGAAATTCTGCTCTTTGCTCCCACAGCCATCAGTGCTGATCAAACCCACGCTCCCTGCATGGAGTCTCTGGCTCTGGGGCTGCTGACGCCACGATCTGGGGGGGGTCCCCCCACCCTGACACCCCCCCAGCCTCACCCTGCCCAGTGCAAAGCCATGGCAGAAGCTTTGCTGCTGTCACTTTGGGGTTGGGATGGTGCGAGCAGCAAAACAAGGCCAAACAATAGGGCTGTGTTCTGGGTTCCCTTATCAGCTCCCTCCCCCAGGGTGCATCTCCAGGACTGGAGGAAGCTCATCGCACACGAATGCAAACAAGCGTCCGTCTGTCTGTCTGTCCAAGCTGAGGACACAGCGATCTTGGCATGCACAATGCAAAAAACAGCCCCTGGGTGGGAAGCAGAACCGTGCGTGCTGTTCTAGGAGGCTTCCCCTTCCACAAGCTTCTGCCCCATTTTGGTCAAAGCAATCACCCTGCTATGGGCACTGCAGGCCCCCAAGGACCCCACGCTTCAAACCACTGTGAACAAGAAGGGGACAGTGTCCTGCTACTCCAGAATGGGTTAAAAAACAACAGCAGATGCTACTCCCATAGATCTGTACCCAAAACAGACCCTGAGCACTCCCAGCAGTGCCCGGTTCAGCAGTGCCCGTCTGCAGTTCAAGGCTTTCCAGCATTGCAGCACATTGGCCAGGCTTTCTGGTGGTTGCATTTTTCCCACATGAAAGCAGTAGCTACACCCCAAAGCAGCCCTGACTCATCCCTGCCCGGCATCCGTCCTCCCCCCCCCCCTTTCATTTGGGCAGCGTGAGATCACAGTTTGGCTGCACCAACAAAGCACCCGAGCCACTTCCCCCAAAGTGGCCGTACTTTACTTGTCAGCTCCTTCCTCTTCCTCTTCCTTCTCAGTGCAAGACAAACAACTTCACCAAAGCAAAGCAAAGCAAAAGAAAGGTTCTGCTGCAGCTTCTCAACCCCAGAGGGAACCAGCTCTGCCAGCAGCCCCAGGTTGTTTCTTGCCCTCATTTTCCGGGCAGGACTTGGCCTCGCAGGCGTGGTTTGCAGGCAGACTTTGCAGGCAGCTCTCAGCCGCTTCGGTGAGCTCTGCAGCATGGCTGAGCGTGTTGCTGCAAGGCTGCACCTCTCTGGGCTGTGCTTCTTCCTCCAGCTCCTCACCATCGTCCTCTTCGCCACCTTTGTCCGCTACAGTCCGGAGAGCTCCAACCTCTGCTCCACGGAGCCAAGCTGCAGCCAGAGAGACCCCAGCCCGACTTTGGGGTACCCCCGTGAGTACCCTGTCCTCTGGGAGGGGGGTAGAAGGAGGGCACAGGGAGCAGCTCCGCCTGCCTCACGCTCCTGGCACGCATGCAGAAAGTTGCTGCGCTCGGCTTTTATCCCTAAAAGAGAGCAGAGGTGGACATGGGGATCACGGGAGGTGAAAGCCTGCCATGCACCCCCCTCCCCTCCCCGACCAGGTGCTCCTGGCATTGCAGGGACTACAAACTCCACCCACACGGGTTAGCAGCACCAGGAGATTGGCACCGAGCCCCTTGCACAGTGCCATCCAACCAGACCCTACCCCCGGCCCCTCCTGGCCACCTCCCTCCCCACGCAGCAGCACCGATGCGGTTGGCCGAGTTTGGGCCAGTTCTCCCAGTTCCGCCCACATATCCACACCTGTATGCTGACTCACCTGTTCCTGCTATGCAAAGGGAAGATTGTCCCACAGCAGGATGTGGGTCTTCTGCTTGTTGTCACTGCCAGGTGTGGGGCAATGGCACTGCTTGCTTGCTGCGCGTGTTGGGTCCCTGTTTACCCCTGACGTTTGCAGAGCAGCAGGGGAGTCCCTGCCTATGGCCGATATCTCCAAACACCCCTGTCTCAGTGTTAGTAGTGTGGACAGGGCTACACAAGCTGCTCCAAAAAGCTTCCAGTCTGTGGGGCAAACCACGTGCATTGATGGGAACTGCTGCTGGGAGGTGACACGGTTCCCTGTTGTGCTGGGACATGTATGGGTGGAGAAGGCTGATTGCCATCAGCTTGAAGGCTCCAACACCCCCCAAAACCTTTTCAACCCCAGGCTATCAGGTGGGGGTCACTCTCACCCAAACCCAGGACCTGCCTGCGGTGCCTCATAGCCCCACTCTGCCTCCTGCCAGGGTTCCAGGATGCCCACCTCCGAGCTCTCCTCGGCTTTGGCTTCCTACTGGCCTTCCTCAGCCGTTACAGGGTGGCCAGTGTGGCTGGCAGCCTCCTCGTCGTGGCCTTCACCATCCAGTGGGCCATACTGGCCCAGGGGCTCTTTTACTTCTCCCAGAACAGCAAGATTTACGTGAGCACTCAGAGGTAAGGCTGGAAGGGTGCTGCTGCTTGGATTCTCCCAGCCCAGCTCCATCCCTTGCACACTGGCTCCCTCCTGTGTAAAACTCACTGCTCTGCTCTCGAGGAGGGTTGTGAGGACCAGGCTGCTAGCTGAGCATCAGCTGAGTGTTTAGGGGAACGCTGAGACCCACTTGCCCAAGCCATGCAAGCCTTGCCACCGACACAGCAAAATTCAGGCTGCCCATTCAGCTTGCAGGAGCAGGGTGTGGAGCGTAGGGTGCAGGGTTGGAGAGGCAGGGTTTGGGTTGTAGGGGATGGCATGTGGGATTCAGGCTCAGCTCCAGTCGACTCACTCTCCCCAGTGCCTGCCCTTGCCTTGGCTGCTCTGGATCCAGCTCAGTGCTTTGCCTCTCCTTCCCAGCATGGTCAGTGCTGACTTCTGCACCGCAGCCATCCTCATCTCCACCGGGGCTGTTCTGGGCAGGGTGAATCCCATCCAAATGCTGTTGATGGCTCTGCTGGAGGTGCCTCTCTTTGCTTGCAATGAATACGTCCTGCGGAGCCTCCTGGGGGTGAGTCACCCCCCAGAAAGGGAATAGTTGGGGTCTTTGTTTTGATTCCTGTCATCAAGACCTGCCTTGGCCATGGGCAGATCCCATACTCTGCCCTGCATGGTGCTTTCTCTACTTGCCAGGTAAGCGACAGTGGAGGCTCCTTGACCATCCACACTTTTGGTGCTTATTTTGGCTTGACGGTTTCACGCGTCTTGCACCGGCCCCACAAGGACAAAAGGAAAGAACAGCAGGACGTGGGGCACCAGCCCGATCTCTTTGCTGTGGTTGGTATGAAGCTTGAGCCCTACAACACCAGACCCCCCGGGGGGGGGGGGGGGGGAAGGACTGCCACCAATGCTAGGACACGCAGTCATGCCACTGCATGTCTGAGGATGCAGACCTCCAAGGATGGAGATTCTCCACCTTCGTAGGGAACTCTTCCAAGGAAAAAAGCTTTTCCTCCTGTCCAGCCCAAGCTGCTCACACTGCCAGCTGTCCCTTTGTACATCTCTGGCACCAGCAACAGGAGGTTCTTTCCCTTGAGAGAGCAACCTCAGTGCCCATATGTGCCTACTCACCTCCCACAGGAACCTTTTGCTTGTGGATCTTCTGGCCCAGCTTTGCCTCAGCCACCACAACCCACGACAGCGCCGAGCCCTGGGCAGTGCTGAACCTCTACTTCTCTATGGCAGCGAGCACCCTGGCCACCTTTGTCCTCTCACCTATCCTGTATGAGGAGGGCACACTGCAGGTGGTAGGTCCTGTCCTGAGACAAAGCCAAGCCCCTGTCCATCCCGCAGGGACAGGAAGCATGACAATGTCCAAGGGAGCACAAGGGGATGCTGGTTTGCTTTCTTGGGTTGGATAAAACCCAGCTCGAACCCTATGGAAACCCAAACCTCATCCCCATGCCATGAGGACAACCCCTCTGTGCTGCTCCATTCAGGCCCAGCTCCAGGATGCCACCTTGGCCAGCGCAGCCGTGATGGGGATGGCGGGAGAGATGCTGTCCACCCCCTTTGGGGCTCTCACAGCAGGCTTTCTGGCCAGCCAGCTCTCCCTGCTCGGCTCCAGGTTCCTCTCGGTGAGTCCCCTTGTGGCAATGAGGTCCTGCACCTTTGGATCCAGGGGAGCTGCATGCCCAACTCAGCCAAAACAGCGGGCAGTTGGGGGGGGAGCATTTCCCCCACCCTAAACCCAGCCTCCTCTCCGTGCATCCCCCAGCCCATCCTGCGATCCAGGCTGAAAACCGAGGACACGTGTGGAGTGCACAACGTCCATGGGCTGCCGGGGATCCTGGGCACCTTCCTGGGGACACTGCTGGCAGCGTTGGCCACCGCGGATGTATACGGCGACAGGTGAGAAGAGACGGCACTGGGAAACGCTCCGACGTAGGAGCTGCTCCGGTGCCCCCCGTAGCTACAAGCAGAGCCCACGGCTCCGTTCCCCGCAGGCTGCAGCTCGTCTTCCCGCTGGTGGCTGAAGGCAGCCGCACGAACGCTGAGCAGGCGCATTGGCAACTATGCGGGCTGCTGGTCACCCTGCTGTTGGCTGCCTCCGGGGGCGGCCTCACGGGTGAGTTTCAACCCCGTGCATTAAAAAAACATAAAAATAAAAATAAATCCCCCTCTCCCCCCCCTACCCCCCCAAAAAAAGACCCAACTAAACCATCAAAACCGACGCGGAGGAGCCCACGCGGCGCAGCTGGGGTGAGAGGCCGCTAGGTGGCAGGGGAAGCTCGGTGCGAGCTCAGACGGATCCTCTGCATCCTCAGGAATCCTCCTGCGAACGAAGGTGCTGAGGTCTCCCCCTGAGGGGAACGAGTTGGAGAGCAAAGTGCTGCGGGAGGTACAGCGGGGTTATTCTTGGGGTGAGGGGGGGAAGTTCCTTCCTTGGTCCAGGCTGGGAGGCAGCTTTGTCACAACCCTCCCCACCCCCCGAAGTCCTGCTTCACCCCTGAGCCAATCCACCCCTCTCTGTGCCGGTGCAGATGGATGAGGATGGATGTGACCGCGGGGCGAGCAGCGAGGAGCGAGGCAACGTCGCCTGATAGCGTGGTGAGCTCCAGGCATTGCCTGCAGCCCAACGTTCCCAACCAGGTTCGTCTCCACGCCGTCCCCAGGGGATGTACAGCGAGGAGATGCTGCAGTCGTTTGGGTTCTTGCTGTGGGAAGAAAGGACAGCCCAGCTTCGCGAGGATCCAGACCTTGCTTGGTTGAGAGGTGCTTCCTGCCAGCTCTGCTCCGTGCCTTCGTTTTCTCCACCTGACATAGGGAAGAGCTACGGGGAGGGCTTTTCTTTAGGGTGCTGCGCTGGGAAGGGGTGTACTGAGCTGAAGGGCAAACAGCAGAGACTTCTTCTATGGATCCTGTCGACCACCGCCATTAAAACACCTCTGTCTTCTTTTGTAACTTCAGGATTTGGCCGTGAATCCACACATGGTTTGCCAGGGAAGAAAGCAAAGCCCCCAGGATCCCCTCACCCCTCACAGCAGTGCTGGGGAGTCACAGGTTCCTCATTTGAGCCACGGATTTCGTGCTTAGCTCTAACCCCTCCATTACCTCAGCCACCAGAGGGTGCCACAGCCCGGGGCCTGGCCGTGGTGACAGCCTGGTCCCTTACATGCAGGTGGCCTCCCTTCTCCCATCCAGCTCCTTGCACCAGGAGGATCCCTCCTCCAAAGCAGCCAAGTGTCACTCAGTTCCCTTGAGAGAGGGATGCCCCATGGTCCTGGTTAGCACTATACTGAAAATACACTGAGATCTGAAATGAGATTGGGGAGGGGGGGAGGGGGCAAAAAACAAAACAAAACAAAAAGACAACAACAAACCAACTATTTGCTACCAGGCTGACCAAAAACGTTGGCTTTTAGATGGGGCTCTTTAATTCCTTTTAGAAATGATGCAGAAAAATTTGGAGGCTGGCACGCTGTTCCACATCAGGAGTTGAAAACATTTGCCTTTGATACACATCAAACCAATGCTGTAAAGTTCCCAGGGATCCCCACTTGCTCATTACTAAGAACCCAATGAAATCAAGGTGCGTGCTGAGTGCTTTGGTTCCATTGAATTTCCACAAAAAAAAGGAGCCCAGCATTGTGACATGAGGCTCCATTCTCATTGCAGGCCCAGGGGGTTTTGCTCCTGGTCCATCCTAACCTCACTCCAGGCTCTGTTCCATGGAGAAGATGCTTCTCACGACCCATGGGAGGCAGAAGAGCACTGGGGCTGGGCTCCAGCCTGCAGCCCCTAACTCCAGTCTTTCACCCCCCTCCTAACTCCCTTTCCCAGGCAGCCCTTTTCCCTTTTGATCTCCTCCCAAAAAAGCAACCCCACTGCGAGGGAAAGAAAAGCCCCTCCAGTGAGATCATTGCAAGACCCCCGGGGCTGGGGTTGGGCGTGGAGTGCAACTCCCTCCTCTTCCTCCTCGGCCCTCTGAAGGCTCTTATGTCCTATAATCGGATTAGGGAGCCCTGCATCCTCCCAGTGCCTGGCTCACACACCTCTCTCCCCGCAGACTGTTTAAGCGAGGCGAGCGCAGAGCCGGCCCTCACGGCGGCGGCGAGGGTCGGTGGGGACGGCGACGAGCCTGAAAGGTTTCGTCAGCGAACAAATTGCTTCTCTGTAGGGGCCGTTTTCTTCCCAAGTTGAACATAATGATGGCAGTTTGGTGAACAGATGGCGTGGCTGAGCGGATAATCCTGGAGCGAGAGGCTGGGCTGGCTCTGCCACGGCACCGGGGTGCAGATGGGCGCTGTGATGGTGGCACCCGGTGGGACGCAGGTTCGGCTTCGTGCCTTGATGTTTTGCAGGCCCTGAGCACAGCGGCAGGGTCCGAAGCCCCTCATGCCTCAGTTTCCCATCCCTGTGACCCCTCGCAACCCATCCGTAGAAGATGCACTCCATACAGGGGAAGCCAAAACATCCATACAGAAAAGCCAATTTATCATTCGCCATTTAGCTCCCATTTGCACCCCGACTCCCAGCTCTGTCCCCTGGGAGCCCTGGCTCTGCCAGCACCTTGCCCTCTACATTGGCAGCTCAGCTGCTGAGGGCCCTGCCTCCATCACCTCCTCTTTCTTTCTCCTGAGCTCAATCAGCTGCTTGGAGGGTGTTGCTCGAGGAAAAGCAATAACCACAGCTCTCCTACAGCTGGGGAAACTAAGGCACACAAAGAGGTGCCTGCAAGTGCACTGGAATTAGCAGCAGGACAAAGCCCAGGCTTGCGATGTTGCTGGTGTATGTGTCCTTACACATCCATGGCCCTTACTGCCTCCCCCTAAGGAGCAGCTGATGCTGTGTTCTGCTTGATAGAAAGCCAGCTAATCATCTTTCCCACCTTCGTTAGAGTGTGAATTGTTATCTGAGCGACACCTGTAAAGCTCCTTGTCAGACAGGGCTGGTGCACACGTCTGATAATGGGCACCAGATGGGAGCAGGGAGGCTCGGAGAGGCATAGGGGCCCAGGCATCCCTGCTCCAAACAAAGAGCAGAGCCTGACAGCTCTGATGGCCACGTGGCATCACTGTGCCATAGGAACACCCGGCAGCACGGGTGCTCCATGTCTGCCATTTCCCAGGTGGGAGAGCTCTGAGCCACCAAGGCGTTGTGCCCTGGAGCATCCTGGCACAGCCTATGGGTGCAAATCATAGAATCAGAATGGCCTGGGTTGGAAAGGACTTAACATAACCTAAATCCAAATCCTGACTCCTTCCGGATCCATTGGCTGGACACAGAACAGATGCGAATGCGGATGTGAATGAATTGAATGTGATCCTGAGTCTTCCACATCCCCTCCCTGACCCCAGACTGGTGGGGCAGAACTCAGCCTTGCTGCCAAGCTGCCCCCCTCCATAAGCATCCTCGACTTTGACCCTTGCAATCACAAAGCTCCGTTTGCAGGACACTAATCATTGCTTGCAGCATAATGAGCCTTTCTGGGCACTGGAACTGGGGGCACAGCAATTAAAATCGTTGGCACCCAGCACGTGGGTGGCTGAAGTGCCCACTCCGGGGTGCCTGAGCAGTACAAGCAAACAATCAGCTCGTTCTTTGCTAGCTCCAATGAAGAATAAAATAAAATCAAGAGGGAATCGAGGCCCCAGCAAAACTGGGAGTCAAGTTTATTTACAAACTGAATGTAAAGTGAAGGGCTGGGAACAAAGGTGTTATGTAAGGGACAGTCACTGAGGGGCTCTAATTGCCACTTGCGCTGCAACACAAATTTATCTCATGGCTGAATCTGCTCACAGGTTCAAGCATTGCTCCTTTCACCATGTTGCCTGGCAAAATATGCAGCCATCATTCTGTGGTCCAAACTCATGGGGGTGCACCACAAAGCAGAAGGGTGCTGGGTTAGATGTGTCCGTGGAGGGGACATGTGGAGAGAGATGGGACCTGGAGCAAAATACCTTTGAGTCCTTGCAGGCAGTGAGGAGCAGCAAACCATCATGGGATGCTCGTGGGAACAGCAGGGAATGGTTGTGAAAGGAGAACCAGGGAGGATGAATGATGCTGGTGATGCTTTCAAGGGCGCCAAGTGGTCAAATGCAAGAGACCCAAGGGCAGAGAGCAGTGCAAAGAACTGGGGTCACTGCAGCACCCAGCAGTGCTGCTTTCTGCTCCCTGCTCCTGGCACATGCAGAACACATCCAGGGCATGAGGACTCTCAGATCCACTCTGGCTGAGCTGCAGGGATAGGGAGGAAGAGGAGGAGGCAGCATCACCAGGAGCCCAGAGGTCAATTTTATTGACAAACGGGCTCTTGAATGGAGCGTGGGGAACAATGCCGGCACTCAGCCCGGGTCAATCTGGGCTGTGTAAAGAGAGGGGCCGGCAGGAGCAGCCCCAGGGAAGCCCTCCAGGCGAGTGGCCTCTGCTTCTGTGTTTGCATAACCCCTGACCCCTCCTTTGGGGGCTTAATTGAAATCCCAGCTTGGTGACAAATTGGCATGACCAGTGGACCGGGGATGGAAGCGATGCTGGGAGCCCTCTCTGTGCTCCAGCAGAGTCCAAAGCATCCCAGCAGGCACAGACCCCATGCAGAATGGCTCATCCTACTCCCATGCACAATGAAATAACGACACCACATTGCTTTCCCCCATGTCACCGCCCCAATGCACCCAGACAACGTCCTCACCCCACAACCAACACATGAGGATCATCTGGGATGCATTCTCCTTGGGCTTGGGTTGCTCTGCTGCTTCCCCAGGCTGTTTGTATCCTGGCTGTGCAGTTGATTTCCTTGCAATGCAGGAAGAGAATGGCCACAACTCTTTGCTGGTCTTGCAGGCAAGCAAAAACTGCTTGTCAGAGCTGAACAGCAAGCGTAAATGGAGCCCCAAAGCAGTTCCTGCAGCCTGGGGGTCAGACAACTGCACTGAGCCGAATGGGGATGGAGTCAGCCCATTTCAGGAGCTCCTGGGAAAGAGGTGAGAAATGGCAGATGCACCCTCGTGCAAGACATTGAATATTTGGCATTAGATAGATCAGCCAAGACGAATCTCAGCTGATCTTTGAAGGGGGATGGAGTAGTTTGTACCTAACACACAAATTGCCCTGGTGGGGCTCGAATCAATTCCAGGTTAAATCTGTTATCCGTGGCTCCTGCTGGCAGCTATGCTGGGTCTGGTGGAGTGTCCCATGCCCATCCTCAGACCATCAGCCTCATTTCTCCAGCACCAGCAGAATTGCTCCCACTTGCACCCAACGGGCTGAACTCCGTCTCAGCATCTTGCACCAAACTGCCTTAAAAACAGAGTGACTCCACTTTGAGGCTAAACCCTAAAATATCCCTAAAATACGATCCTTGCTTTTACCATCTGTACCTCGTTCAGAAATCATTCGCGGGGATTTTTACAGATCCTAAAATACTTTTAGCTGCAGATTTCACGTCTGTTATCTGCCGCTGATTCACACATTTCAACCGCTGTTATTGTAGTTATTATTAAACAAGCACCAGCCAGGGCTCCTTCACAAGGATCTGCAGCCATTGGGGACACTGAGATCCATCAGAGCAGCTCTGCAATCAGATCTCAAAGCCATTTGCAACAGGTCCGGACTGCCAATTTGCAGAGGGAGAAATGTGTGGCTGGAGAGGAGCTGCTCTCATGAAGTGGGAATGCTGGCGGGGATGGGACTTTAGGATGCATCCCCGTGCAGTTTGCTGCATTTCAAGGGAGAAAAGTTGGAGTCCTGTGTGACTCCACCTCTATCTCCACCTGTGCCTGTGTGTAAATCTGGGATGCTTTCACCCCCCCCCAACCCCATTTCACTCGGCCGCTCTCCCTTTGGGGAAGGTACCCCACCAGTGTCTCCACTTCTTCAGGTTCCACCAGCGCTGCTTTAGAGTTTTAATGCGCGAAGCTCTTTACAGCATTTCACATCAGGCTTCGGCCAACGCTCCCACTCCC